AAAAAAAAAAAAAAAAAAAAAAAAAAAAGATGTGTTCTAACCACAAAAGAACTCCTAGGTGTGCCTACCCTTCCAGGAGTTCCTGATTTTAGTCTTGTTAGCATCGTAAAATGCTTTCTGAATTGAATTACTTCCTACACCAAGCTGTACTCCTGCACTGGGAATTCTTCCAAATGTTCTTTCCATGGCCATCCATTATCATAGGAATGCCTGGAAGACCCCAGGACCTCCATGGAGGTTTTACTCAATTCCAGTGGTTCTCTTGGAACTTGGTCACATGGCGGTGTGCACTAGCCCTAGCAACTACCTGGGAGCTTTGTGGATTAACAAGCATCTAAAGGGAAGTTGAATATCTTTCCTTTCTTGCATTTCAACTACTCACGTGTTAACAATAGTATTATACTATTCGTTAGATGTTTAGTAACAAGCAAGATACCAGATAGAAAATTTGCACTAGATAGAATAGAGGTAACATATCTGAATGATGTCTGGGAAAAAAAAAACAAACCAAAATTCCAGAACCAAAACTGTACTTAGATTGCAAAACCAAAATTGGACCACAATTATACTTAGGCTGCATAGAAGAACATGGACTAACTGATTTTGCTAAATAACACTACTTTGCAAAAAGGATATTCCAACATCCTAAGGCCACTAAATGGTGCAAATAGAATCATATCTTTGTGTCCGCAACTAAAAGTGATGAACCGTAAGCTTTGTTCATAAAGTATCAGATCATGAGTTGTTAAGATTTTTGTGTGTGTGCAATGGACACCATTGGCGGTCTGGTGAAGCCAACAGACTCCTCAGAATGGTTTTCTAAATGCATAAATTTAGAAGATACACAGAATAACTGTAGAATCCAGTTGGAATGAAATAAAGTTACCAAAATAATTTTTGAATGCTCAGTTTGTCGAATAATGATACATATGCTGCTTTATAGTACGTCAAATAAAAGTCTAGGCTGGGCATGGTGGCTCATGTCTATAATCCCAGCACCTTTGGGAAGCCTAGACTAGAAGATCACCTGAAGCCAGAAGTTCAAGACCAGCCTGGGAAATATAGTTAGACCCTCATCTGTACAATTTTTTTTAATTAGCTGGGGATGATGGCTTATACTTGTAATTTTAGCTCCTTGAAAGACTGAAGTGGGAGGATAGCTTAAACCCAGGAGTCCGAGGTTACCATGAGCTATGATTGGGCAACTGCACTCCAGCCTGGGCATAGAGTGAGACCCTCACTCTGAAACACACACACACACACAAAATCCACGACAGTTTACAACTATTTTTTGGTAGAAAATTTTAGCTTCTTTTGTGAAAATAAATGACCTGTTTACATGTATTTCATTAACTTTCTCTGAATAGCTTAAATGACAACAGTAATCTTTGTGTAAAGTTGGGGGAAGGAATAAGATTTTATTTCAATCCAGTTGTGAAAATAATGTTCAAAAGGCATAACGCCAACAGCAAGAAGGGAAATGGATCTGTGCTCTGGTCATGGACCCCATGACTTTTAGCCTATTTGTACTAATCAGGGCGGGAGGAGGAGCGAGAAGAAAAGTGAGAAGGGAGGAAAGAGCATTCAGGGTGTACAAGGACTCTAAGGAACTAGAAGTTGGCAAAGGACTATTTGATTCATAATGAAGTGAGAGCACCAGGTAGGGGGTGGCCTGCAGGGCCTTAGAGTTAAATAACGTGGTCTTTACCATAAAAACAGAGGTCGATCATCCCTTGACTTTGGTTTGTTTATTTAGAGATTCGGTCTCACTATGGCACCCAGGTTAGACTCAAATTCTTGGACTGAAACAGTCCTCCCATCTCAGCCTCCTAAGTAGCTGGGACTACAGATTTCTTTTTAAAAATAGACTTCACTTTTTTTTTTTTTGCAGTTTTTGGCCAAGGCTGGGTTTGAACCTGCCACCTCCGGTATATGGGGCCAGGGCCCTACTCCTTTGAGCCGCAGGCAC